ATTTCCTAACAATTTGTTTGAAAAAACATCAGTCAACATTCGACTTAAGGATGACGTTTACTCAGGTTTCAGAAGACAGAAGGGAAATTCTATAAAGTACATGTTAAATCAAAAATTGTTCTAAATGGATAAAATAACCAAGTTTTAACTCAATATCAATTTAAAAATTTAATATTTTATTATTTGAAGAAAATATGCAAGAACAAAAGTCAATATATGGTAATGCAGAGGAAATTCGGACTAGATATTATTTTTTTTTTTTCATTTTTGTCACATAATTTTATTTCTTGCAATATCAATTACAAAGTAAAGGTAACATGTACAAGGGCCGTTCAGAAATTACGCGGACTTGTTGCACAGAAAATATATCTAACGACATATTCAAGTAAAAAGTACCGTTCACGGTAGCTCAGTCGGTAGAGCGCTCGCTCCGTGATCGGGAGGTCGTGAGTTCGAATCTCGGCCGCGACTGACCTATGTCGATAAAAATGGGTAGCAACTGTTCCTTCGCCATGCGCTCGGCACTTTGAAGTGAAAGTTGCGGGTCCTTCGGATGAGACCTTAAAAACTGAGGCCCCGTGTCACGGCAGGCGTTGGCACGATAAAGATCCCTCACTGCTCAATGGCCCTGAGTGCCGAATAAAGGTCAAAATTTGAAGCCCTTCACCGGTATAAGGTGACGTCTCTATATGAGTGAAAAATTCTCGAATGGGACGTAAAACAACATACAATCAATCAATCAATCAAGTAAAAAGTCATAAATAATATAAAAGAATCTTATCATATATGATCATCAAAATTTCATATCAAAATATTGTAAATTGATATCAATTTCAAGTGATTTAACAGGACATGTCATGAAGTCACGGCGCAGTAAAACCTTCAACGTCACGGGCATTTTAAAAAATGGGAGCTTTCATTTTCTCAATATTTTCCCTTAGCATTTGATACTGTATAGTTTAGGTTACCCTATCCACTCAGAATAAACATCCATATACCATTTCTGATTCAGCTCAAAAACTATAAAACTAGTACTGTGTGTTTTAGTTTGTGTTAAACCCCAAAACTGCAGATATTTTCTGAAGTAAAGTTTGACGTCAGTCGTTCTCAATCACATTCTTAACAGCCCAGATCAGTATTTTTGTCGATGAACTTCTTCCATCCCTCCCGGATTACCTTTTGACATAGGTCAAAACAGTCTAGAATTCTTTTTACATTTTGTAGAGATGTTTCGGATATTCCGCTGGTTTACTACATGCTTCATTAGGCTTATTTTGGGTCTCCATTGGCGTTTTCCCAGCAGGATTCATGATTTGATGAAAGTGCGCTGCTCCGTCAAATCAAGAGACGTCATTTTTGCCGTTGATTTCGTATGGGTCATATCGGAGAAAAATTACAATATTTCTGTTAGTACTTCAAATATTACGCCAGAAATCTAAATATTGAATAATAAAACAATAAAAAGAAATTTTAGAGAAAATTGTTGAATAATATCGTGAAATATTGAAAATAAATGAATAAAATTTTGGATACCGCATGTTTGTTTTTCAACATTTTTGAAGTGCTCCGTACATCACCATCAGCAGTATCAAAACGGCGATAATTTTACGAGATATTTAATAAAATCAAAAAAATTTACCTGGAATTTATTGGAATTTTTAAGAAATATGTTCCTGTGTAATTTCAATTCTATATGACGTCTGTAAGAGTAAATAATAGCAGAGTCCGCGTAATTTTTGAACGGCCCTCGTATTTTTAAACATCATTTTGCAAATATGTGTGTTAAAGCTCATGAATTATTTCAAATAATTGAATGCCATGAAATAAAGAAATTCAAAAATATGAACAAAAACCATTCCAGACAACATATCTCAATAATTTGATCTTTGACCTCATATAATTTTAATACCATTAGAATAAGGGCAACAAAAGTAAACTGAGGCTATAAATAATTTAGAGTTCTTATCATTCAGATTTTTGTAATATTAGATTAAAAATGGGGGGAAAATAGAAATCTGACAGAGAAATTCGAAATGTAATAATTAATAAGTTTATGGCCCAAACTCCAATCGTTTATTTATATGAAGCAACGCTGTTCCATTCCTATTATATTTCATTATTTAAAGAGTTTTGTTGCTTGTAATATTTTGTGGGTAAAGAAAAAACTGGTCATAGTGTGAAAAATTGAGGTATTTTCCGAGAAATACTCAGGGGCCACTAGTATGAAAAGTAGGTAATTGACCTAGTTATTTGAAATTGAAATTTAACAAAAGAATCATAGGTGTACAATGTACAATAGGTGGTTTTTCGTTCTTATCAGTGGAATTTTTTGTCATCTGAGTAAACTTCATCCTTAACAATAGAATACAAAGTCATTGTATCGACCATAGAATTTGCAATATGTTGAATTTTAACGGGATTGTTGATATCTATTTATTATCAACTTGTTTGTCAAAAAACTTGCCTCATTTTAGAAATTGTTTTTCAGTGGAGCATGTTATTGCATATCGAATCAACTCGGAGATATAAACTCAATATGCAGGTGATAATGATACATTTATTTACTACATAAATATATGAAGTTGACGATAGAAAAGTTGAAGTTAGCACATTTATCATAAACTTTTGTTGTAAAATATCCAAAAATGAAATGAATGTAACATACTCTATGGTTTCTTTTATTTTGAGTTCAAAGGGATATATCGAATTAACGTAGGAATGAAAATGAAAATTGTTAATTGATAAAGGGTCGTCGATAAATCTAGATGTGGAATTGAAGGCCAGAGAAATAGATTTCTTTTTTATTTAGAAGTTTTTGAATGACTTCTGCCTCATATGAAAACAAATTAGGTCTGCTTATGACGGGACGCAATTAGTACTTATTGAAATTCTAAAAAAAAAAAAAATGTAGAAAGACCTGATCTCCAAAAACTACATACATATTGTCAATCAGAAACTAGGGGACCTTTTAAATATCAACCTTAGAGTACTTGAGTGTACGATCAGAATGTTTTTTTTTAATCAAAATTATTTTGCAAATGACCAATTAGTCCTTCTTGTAAAATTATTTTTCGCCGTGAAAAACTGCTCAGTATTTTCTTTCTTATCATTTCCTGTAGTAAGTATCAAAGGGAGCGAAGTTTGATCTTACTGATCTTACGTAATGTAAATATTAAGAGAAAGAAACCGTATATTACGTAATCATCTGTTCATTAGTCATAAAAAATTTAAATAACAATTAACATACATTTTATTAATGTAAATGAAGTTTATAAGGTGTTCAAAGAGCAGCTTGATTAACTTTAGTTCTGTAGGCTTTTGGATAAATACGTACTTCACTGTACTTTACAACATTGTACAACGGTGTACAATGGTGTATAAAGCAGGCGCTACAATAAACATTTGACCCTTCAAACGTACCAGTTGCATTAGACAATGGTATTTTCTATATATGTGAATTATTTAAACTTTATTGATTGAGCATAACTGAGACAGTATACTGATTGATTGTATGTTTTTTTACGTCCCATTCGAGAAGTTTTCACTCATACAGGGACGTCACCATATATAAGTGAAGTGCTTCAAATTTAGACCTTTACTCGGCACTCAGGGCCACTGAGCAGTGAAGGCTCTTTATCGTTCCAACGCTCCCTTGACACGGGACCTCGGTTTTTAAGGTCTCATCAGAGGGATCTGCAACTTTCACTTCAGAGTTCCGAGCGCTTGGCGAAGGAAAAGTTGCTACCTATTTTTTATCGACTTAGGTCAGTCGAGATGCGCACTCACGACCTTCCGATCACGGAGGGAGCGCTCTACCGACTGAGCTTCTGTGACGGTCTGAGACAATATAGATGAATGCACAATTACCAGCCTGAGAAACAGATATCAATGAAAGATGCAACAGGTGAAAAATTTATTTATCAAATTTTTCCAAAAAGTAACAAAAGAAATCCATTGTATTTCTTTCCAAAATTATGTTTCCGAGATATAAACTTGTCATTGAAATAAATAATTCGCATAAAAATTTGTGTCGTTTTAGCTTAAGTCAATTAAACAACATTTATTTTATTAAGTTTATTGATTTTGCATTAAAGCCTAACAGTTAGATCCGTACATAGCCGCAAATTAACGTCTTTATTCCGTTTACTTTTGTAAGTTGAGTAACCTCAATCATTTCAATTAACAGGATAGCAATTAAGAATTTTGTATCAGATTTATGAGATATTTCTTTATTTACAGAGCAAGAAATTTTATATCCACCACGGTCCGGTCTGCTTTCCAGTGCCCTCTTTGCAAAAAAGTGATTGACGACATACGAGTATTAGTGAAGCAGCAAAACACGACGTTTCTATAACGCGTAGGTTGAGTGTCTCACTTCTTGGTAAAACAAGTCTTTAAGAAGATCATCTAGGATTAATATATGAAATAAATAGCAATTTATAAATACAATAGAATTACCAAAATGAAGGAAGCGTAATCTTGCAGGAAATATCGTTTAATTTATTGGCCCCCACAACAAACCCCGTTTAAACATTGGACAACTAAAGTCTTAACAACATAGAAGAGACAATCGTAGGAATTGTCTACCAGTAGTCAGTTTGTCCGATTGTTACAAGTGACATCTATCGATTTAATGTCTGCGATAAAAAATATTCAATTTCGTTAGTTTCTCGATGTCTGTATGAGGTCTTATAAAGTTTATAGGCACTTCGGTCATCCATTAGTTTTCCGATTGTTTTCTTAACAAGAAGAATGAGTTGTTTCTTCCTTAACCCAGATAATTATCTTACTGGGATTGGTAAATAATTTTTCTGACATTCCTAGGAAATTTTAAGTTTTGTAGCTGTGCTTTTTTCCCCTTCACTATATCATTTTTTATTCCCTTGTATTAATTGTAAGGTAAGAGAAAAGCGATGTCCTCCACGTTAAATTTATTTTTCCTTATATTTGGTCGTTGAATTGCTATATTTTAAAAGAGCAATGACTTCAAATCTACTTACAGTCAAAAGCCCATTCCGAGTTATTGCTGTAGTCGACTGCCATCACGATAATCCCTTTGTCTGATACTGAATTTGTGAAAGACTCAGCCATCATAGCAGAATAACAATTTGACAACTGATTAACGCAGTTCCTTTTTGATTCTTATAAAACGATATCCGGCGGGTTAATGTAATATCGCAGCTTCAGATTAATTTTTCATGTGTTGTCACTTTGATAAACAGTTGTGGACGGTTTTACTTTCACGATGTTATCGTAGGTTTAAGCTTGATCAGATAAAAAAAAAATAATCCAAATTTTCTGTGTCTGCAAAATAAATCTCAGACTCTTCGAATCACTTGTTTCAGGCTCTGATCTGTTATTCATTCAAAATGAAATTCTGCTGTTTTTTTTTCCCGCCCAACCTTAGTTTGATAAAATTATTTTCCACACTGTTCACTGGAGACGTGCGTGTCCAGGGTTGTGCTTTTATCCAATAATTTTCCTATGTTCCTTGGTACTGGCCCTGTGGTTCAACAGATCGTGAAATTGACAAATCATTAAATATAGAATTATGGATTTCTGATTGCACTAATAACTCAGGTTGCAAAACTCTGCTTCCCGGAACAAAGTTAGGCTTGTGCTGCAATGGCTTCAAATCTAGAGCAGAGGGATGGTTTTATTAGAGACAAGAAATATAAGACTGCTCTCAATGGTAGCGATCGTCTGATGGGGCTTGGAACGACTAGCTTCCGCAGAACTATCAACGGGAATCAAATGTGTGTCTGCCGACTGAATGCTCGCTTTATTTCACATAAGCATGATAACAGAAACTTCTTTATTGATTTATAAGCAACATGACATAAGATCATGTTGTTAAGAAAATTAATCAACTTTCGAGGTTTTCAATCTTTCAGGTCTACTTAGGCGATACGTTAGAAAGCGTCATTCTTCGGTGCACAAACTGCTGCTTAATGTCAAAATGTGTATTTTCAGATTAACATTTTTCATGCTTTTCACGTTAGTAAAACACATGATAATAAAAGAAGGTGATAAAACTATTTGCAGAGCGAAAAATATTGCAATAAAAATTTTTACTAAAAGAGAAGTTTGTTAGAATAATAAAATTCAGATATCACGTAGTTTGAAATTTTACCTGGCGTTGGTTAAGTGCAATCTGCAGTACTTCATTTAGTTCTTAAGAAATGCTTAATGCTATACATGCAAACGATGGTCAATTTAAAAATGACATTTAAAAATGCGTATGATTGTTTACATCAAGATAAAAAAAAAACATGTTGCTGACTTAAATCAATTTTGTTTTTAAATTTTGATACTTCTAATTCTCTCAAATGTTTCTAAGGAGTTTTCACGACATTTAACTATTGAGTATATTATGTAAATGGTGAGTTATGGTTAACCAGCAATTCATGCAGTTACAAGCATTTAAGTTTCTTAACGTTGGTTATTTCCTTGTCTGCTCTCTTCCTGACCTTTATATAATACTACAGTACATGTTTGAAAATTAAATATATTATTAAAGAAGTAATAATGGTTTTTCAGGAGTGTTATCCTAAAGTATGAAGTTTTTTCCCCAATTATAACAACAATATATTTATAAAGCGACGTTCTGGAATGCCAATTATTGACGAATTCATACAAATTTTATTTCAGAAACACTGTCTAGAAAACAAGAGCATTCACTGTGAACTCGCCTAAAACAAGATTGTGTCAGAGATCAATGTCAAATGTCAACGCCTGTTAGCAAGGATTTAAACAAAATAATCAGGATGGTTGCTATTAATATAATACTTATATGCTAGAATTGTACTTCGTATACTGGTGCCATATACATGCTCTTAAGCAATATGAGCTGCAACTTTGATGTCGGAAATTTTTGTTGCTATATTGTAATTCATTATTCCAATGGAGAAAAAGTACATTTATAAACTTATGTTATTAATATTTGAAATGTAAGAACTATTTATCAGCTTTGATTAAAGCAAAATTACATTATTGTCAACCTGCAGAACATTGATTTCTTATAAAATACTATACATTCCATTGTACAGAAATCTTTCTTCTGAAAAAAATTTAATACTTTATTTTAGTCTATTTGATCATAAATGTTTAAATTACACATAGATTTATCACAACAGCACATTTTAACAGCAAAATAAAATAAAATACTCAAATTGCTTTAAAGGAAACTAAACAGGATTTTATACAAGGAGAGTAACTTGGTTTATGAAATGCTTCAGAATCATTGAGAAAATGGATTTCTTGCAGCCTTCTGACTTAAAAACAATAATGGAAGACAAAAACATTGCTTCGGGTGCATCTCACTGTTTTGTTATCTTCGTTTTTTTCATTCTATATTAACAAAATAATAAAAAAAAAATCATTGTTCAATATAACCCAAAACAACCATTACTAATACGGAGTTTAACAGTAAGAATCTGTAACATACATTCTATGTTCAGAATAAAGCCGGAAGATATAATTATGTGAGATGAAAGTCTTTACGTATGAGAAGTGTCTTCGATATATAACAATGGAAAAGCGATAAGGTACAAATACTGCCTGGTCATTTAGCTGATTTGTCCTCTACAGTTGATGATATAGACTTTATCAACAGAACCTGAAAATTGATCTCAATGAGTGAGACCTTCCTAAAATACATTAAAATAAATACCACTAGAACTTGATCAATGGTATAAATTCAATGTTGAAATAATGTGACTTGATAGTGTACACATATGTTGATTGATTTATTGCATGTTGTTTTACGTCCCCTTCGAGAATTTTCACTCATAAAGAGACGTCACCATATACCGGTGAAGGGCTTCAAATTTATTTAGACCTTTACTCGGCACTCAAGGCCATTGAGCAGTGCGGGTTCTTAATCGTGCCAACACCTACCGCGACACGGGGCCTCGGTTTTTAAGGTCTCATCTGAATGACCCGTAACTTTCACTTCAAAGTTCCGAGCGCTTAGCGAAGGAACAGTTACTTACTATTTTTTATCAACTTGTCAGTCACGGCCGTGATTCGAACACACGACCTTCCGATCACGGAGCGAGCCTCATACCGATTGAGCTACCGTGACGGCTGTATAAATATAAATTTAAAAACGATTTTGTTTTACTCATACTTAACCTTGTATCTTTGATATAAGGGGAAATACCTATGCATTTAATTCATTTAATTCATGAAGAACGCACTAATGCTCACTTGAATAGATGAGAGGCATTCATATCAAATCAATCTGCATGCATCTGTACATGTACGTAATTAGTGCCACAATTAAAAAAAACAAGGTGAGTAGTTTTTTTTTTACTTCAATTTCCCTGAAATATTCCTCACATTTATGAATATCTATCAATCTATATATAATGGCTTTTATTGTCAAAGCAACTACCATTCTTATGCTTAAATCTAAATACCAAAAGCAAGGATTTTTTTTTAGCAATTAACAAATATTTATGTAATAGTAGGAAATGAAGTATTTAAGAAATAGTATGCCTGCAAAACCAACCTGTGTCTGGATGCATATTTTCTGCCTTATGAAAAAAATGAACTGTTTTCAAGACTTGCATATTTTCATATCCTTAATAGATGCACATCTTATGCTAATCAATTGTTTTTTGATGCAATGGACGTGAAGTTTTGCACAGGAAAATATCAAATCTGACACTCAAATCACTACATGCCGTCAGATGGAAGAGCTTATCTTCTGTCAGATCTCTAAGATGGCGAAGAAGCATGCAAGAGAAATAAAGCCAATCTGATTGTGATCAGCAGCTTATTAAGAATTTATCAATTCATCAATCAATCATAGGCGGCGAAAGCCATCACCAGGTAGGTTTCGATTAAAAGTGCACTGTTTCGAGTTAGACGGTAGAAAATGTTATTAATAAGACATCTTAATAGCACCTAACGTCCCTCATAGCTGTGTCCAAAGGCACGTAATTGGCATCTAACATTTATTTGTATTCTGTATAGTTTGATAATTGGAAGATGGCGTCCATGTCATTAACATTATATCAGGGGATGTAAATAGTATCATATTTATTTCAATTTTACTGGATTTTCAAATAAAAGACAACAGCATGTAGCTTAAGTTTATCAATGTATGTAAACAAAATGCTTAGATACAATTGCTAACTTCAAAGTTTACTTTATTCTCTAAATATTTATTTTCTTACTGAATACTTTAGGATCATGCAATCATTACGCATGTAATTTCATGGCGACTATAGAGTTAAGATATCTCTGCGTTTGAAATGAAACTTGGCGTCAGATACGGGCAATCGGAATAACGCATTCTGTTTGTTACCTATTACAGTCATGCGTACTTTGAGTTTTTTACATTATTACTGTAGTCGCCCGTGTGACGCAGTGGTAAGTGCGTTCTAGGTAAAAACAGGAAGTCGCAAACAATTAGTAGATCCTTACATCGAAGGTTCGAAAACCACTGCGGAACGGTCTTGCGGATGAAACCGTAAAAACCGAGGTCCCGTGTCGCATTAGATGTTGGCACCAAAAAGATCCCTCACTACTCAATGGCCAAAGATGCTGGGTATAGGCCTAAATTTGCAATTTTCCACCAGCAATAAGTGGTGTCCCAATATGAGTGGAGTATACTCACTGGGATGTAAAGCATACAAGCAACCAATCATCATATATTTTTAATATCTTCGAAAAGATACATGTACGTTTTAAAGTACTTGGAAAACGTATCAAAACGTATCCAATCATTTAAATTTATGACGTTTGCATATTTTGGGGTTAGGTGGGATGGGGTATATAAAATGATGTTATAATTTTGTTCGATTCATTTGATTTGTTCGTTATTATACATGTATGAAACAAATGTACCTAAAGTAAACTTTTTGATACTATCATGAAACATGAGAAAACAATTTGCTTTTTGTGCCTGAAATCCACAAAAATAAAAATAATCTTACGTAGTTATGATTTCTTCTGACACAAGAGGTACCTGACTTTCAACTATGCCAATCAATAGAATGTGGAATAAATTGCGACAAAAAGAAATTGAACGTACTGATAGATGATGGCCATTATATTTCAAGTTTTTTAAACTTGGGTTTCCATAGGCTATATTCATATTTATTCATGTTTTGTCTTAAACATTAATTTTTATTTTAAGATCTTGCCTTATATAATATATCACTTTTCTTTCAGATATAACAGCAAAAAATGTCTTCGATTTTCTTCTTGTCTATTCTGTTTATTTATGTGCTGTAATATTTTATCAACAATTTATCTACGAAAAAGTATGTTTGGAGATAAGTTAACACGATATTTAAAGATTTAATTATATAAAATATTAGTGCACGAAACTGTTGTTGAAATAATTGAAAAATAGATTATTTACTTATCAATTATCGGTCACTATATATTCGTACCTATTTCATACACATGTTGTAGAATGCAAAGAAGTTGAGAATAACGAATAGTAACCGATCTCAAAAACCTACAAACAATACAAATCTGTGAACATGGCATAAAACACAAACCCCTGGAAATTCCAGAAGTGGGATCAGGTGCCTGGGACGAGCATGCATCCCCAGAATACGGAAAATAATTACACTTTATGTAATTTTCCACATGAACATTTTTTCATCAATAATTAACTATATTAAACAAAC